GGGAAAGAAAAAGGAACTAACAGGTGTATTAGATCATTCATGCGCTGCAATTAGATCTTCCTCTAGGTTGGTATTGTGCTGAAACACCATGTAAGAATGAGATGTTATGATGGTGCTACAATTACTGATGAGAATGTTTTAAGTTTAATTAGTTTTACTTTGTCTTCAGAAGAATTCATTTCATTTTATTCGGAGGGAGGATGCTATTGTTTGCAGTCCTTTACCAAAAATGATACCTTGATCATAAAAGACTAAGATACTGAACTATAAGAACATACAATGCTGAACTTGGATCAAACAATGGGGCATTAGGATATGGGATTGGTGAATTTGTTAGATAATAGATGATAGTATTACCATTGAGAACTTTCTCAAGCAGATATGACAAACTGGTAAAACTTAAATTGAAAACTTTTATTTAAATTAATTGCCTTCACTACATTCTTTATATGTATGGCTTTGGCATTGAAGCACACAGCTAATTTTTTTAAAAAAAATAGATTTTCTCTTTTAATTTGCTTCATGTCTTGTTTCCTATTACCAGGCCAGATAACAGCTTACAAGATTTAAGGAACAAAATTTTCCCTTTAAATAAAAGAAAGGACAAGGAACCTGTAGCTGTCCCCTCTGTACTGTTACCAGCTAGAAGAAAGGAGAGATCACTTTCATCTTTGGTTGTCAGCACTCCAAGGGTATCCACACAGTTAACCATGACAGGAAGAAGAACAAAACCTACAAGAAAGGCTAGTGGCCTGCCAGGCTCTAGCTTCTCCATTGAAAAGGTAATTAAAAAAGAAGCGGAATTACTGGATGACCGCCAAGATAGTTCATGCTCACCTGACACTTCAAACAAGTCTGCTAAGAATGTTGGACAGGTAGGAAAGGCAATCAGGCTTTCTCATTCTACTCTTCATATATGGTTCCGTTTACTTTTGTTTATTTCTTTGTAATCTTGGTTCATTTGTTTTCCCTGATTATGCTGACATTAGTTTATAATAATGTGCTTGTATTTTTATTATTGTAGAGTTTGTCACCTTCTAAAAATAGCCAATCCATAAGCAATAGAGGACCACAGAATGGTGCTGAACCACAAGAAGCAAAATGGGATCTTTGGAAAACTCTGAATTATTTAGCAGAGGCTGCTAGTAGGAGCAAGTCTTTTAAGTCTAATGCGCAAGCGTCTGATGCTAATCTAGAATCCATGAAAGTGACTGACAGTGATTCTAAAGTGCTGAAAGCAAAAATTAAGGAAAATAAGCGCAAGGCAAAAGTTGATGATGAAAAGATTAGCACTGATCATGTCTCTTCAGATACAGCAAAACCACACAAATTGCGGAGAGTACGCCCAAAAAAGGAACCTGTTTTTGGAGAATCAAGAATATCACCTCAGGCTGTTCTGGATGCTACTGGCAATAATCTCTTGTGGAACAATTCAATTTGGTTCTCCTTAGCAGCTTCCGAAAACCAGTGAGAAAACATTGCTTGCCAATGTTAATTAATATATACATCTTACAAATCATATTTTGAATATTTCTATATTTACTAATTTTAGACTAATGTTTCAGGGAAGGGGATGCACCTTTACCCCAAATTCCTTCGAGTTATGTAAGAATAAAGTAAGTTCCTTCACATTTAATGGACATCTGTAGACACTGTTACCACTTTATTATATGCTTCTAAACAAAAAAAATATTTTGCATAGAGCAATACTAGACATCATTCTCGATCTTTTTCTTTTTCCAAAATCTAACATGTGATTCTATATTCAATAAATATTTATGTTAAGCCCATCTCCACAGATTAAATTTCATGCAACTTATTAAATCACATAAAAGGAAGTAATTGGTTTGACCTTTGGCTGATTGTACCTCAGTAGCCAATTATTTATTTGTCAATTAGATGAAGGAGAATAAATCACAGAAAATATGCATATCAAGGTATATGGTAACTATTTTAGCATAACACTGATAAAAGGAAATAGCAAAAAGAAAAGCTGCAATAAAAAACTGTGACTGTCCCATGAAAGGAAATAGGCCATGAATGTGTGATATGATTGGCCATGTGTATTTTAAAGTATGCTTTCAATTATTCAACAGTCATATGAGGATGCTTCCCTCCCTCCCCTTCCCTCAGTAAATGTAATACTTTCTCTGGACTTATATATAAGTAAAAAATGTTAAAATTTCTTAGATTGAAATGTAAGCAAATTTCAACTAATTCAACTTTATTTAATGTTCTTATTCTAAAAGTACCTCTAAGATAGCAAATGGTGAAAATACATGTGATTAAAGGTATTTTAAAAATTGAAGTATATGTTTTATATAAAATTGTGTAAATTAAATGAATGTCACTAATTTCTTAATTTGTGTGAAATTAAGTTTTTTTTTTTTTTTTTGCTTATTTAGTTTTAGAGTACTACTCGTTCTCTCTTTGTATTAGCTTATATTTACCCATCTGGAAATATTCCTGAGAAGCTGACTTTACTTAACATTTGCTGCTTCTATGGCTTTTAAAATATACATCTAACTGAGTTCTATCTATTCATTTTGCCACAGGGACGGAGGGATACCAGTCTCATTTATCCAAAAGTTATTAATGAAGAAACTAGGCCTGAAAAGTGAGGATGAGGTAATTTCTTTGTTGGATATGTAAAATACATTCATGTAATTGAGGAATATCTAGGAGTCAAAAGACTCTAGTATCTTGGTTCTTCACTTGCATTAATTTTCATTGAACCTTCGGTCTGTTTGATTAGAGCTATGTAAATAGTATTATAGCATTCACAATTTGATTGTCGCTAAAGTTTTCTGATTGTCTTTTTAGCGCTAGAAATGTTGCACTATTCTAAGACATTTACGTATAACGTATATTCTGATACCCATTTCCCCAATTACTCCTATAAGTATCACTTGATGGGGGCAACATCTTAGCAGTTTCCCTTTAAGGTTTCATTTCATTGTCAGTTAACTTATTATTATCCAGTCATGTTTTGATATTTATCTCACTATACTGTCCCAACTGCAACTAGAATGTAATTACACACACAGTTCATTCTAATTCTTACTGCACAGAACTGTTATCACAGTACATAATTTATGTAGGAACTTAGAATCACATCACTCTTTTCTTAACTTTTGGCGCTTCTGAGGGTCAGAATTATTGCTTCCTGTTGGTTCTAATAGTTTCAAATAGGTAAACTGTGCTAGTGTACATGTTTCTCTGTACTAACTCTTCATGCTACTTTTCTTTCAGGTTGAGATTAAATGCATGGGACATCCAGTGCTTCCTTCACTACAGGTACAAAATTTGGTTGAACTGTGGCTTGATACGGCGTCTACAGGACACAGAATTCCTGCAACCATTGGATCCTCAGGGAAAGATTTTGTCATGATCCTAACCTATGGCCGGAAGGTCTCACAGCCTTGATCATGGTTCCAAATTATGGCCCTTTTCACATTTTTATTATAGCTTGAAAAATCAAGAACCTCACAGAATAATTGCTTCCTCATCAGTCATCAGCATGTATATTCAACAAGAATTCTTCTGTCACTGAGTTGCCAATAGCCGCGATGTTATGAAGGATAAGATAGGTTGAATAAATTGAAGAAATCTCGTCTCCTGGTAGTCTGTTAAATGTAGAGTAGCATGCTGTTCTGCTGGTCATTGTAGTGATCATTGGTTTCTGATTTTTCGAGAGCATGCCTTTTGTTTTCAAGCTAGTTGCGACAAATGGTTTCTTGGATATTTGACATTTCAATTTAGATTGTCTTTTCCTACTATTTTCATTCGGTTTGTATGAATTACTATTTCTGCAAGCAAATGAATAGCAGAAAATCACATTAGATCTTGAATCTTCCTGTTAAAAAAAAATGATAGGTACTACCGTATAAGTTTGTATGCAAGAACCAACCATGTTGGGCTGTGACACGAATACAGATAGAAACAAGTTTCTTTTATGCTGAAACCCACAATGATCCTGATAAGTGATAATAAATTATAATGTGCAAGAACCAACCATGTCGAGGCTGGCTTCATCAGTTCATATTCTTTTTGCACTTATGACGACATTTTCATTTGTTATGTGGTGCGAAATGGTGTCAACTGTCAAATGACATTAGTGAGAAGTGCTCCATTGTAATTCGATTATGTTTTTTACACAGAAGATATTAAATATGTGATGATTTATATATTCCCTTTTTTGAGCGCATAATTTTTTTTTTTTTGCTTTCTAGACACATTATATTAAAAAAATATTAATTATACTATCAGGTCTCTAATTTTTGTTGTCCTCTCAATTAAATAATTAGTCATTATTTGAATTAAATAGTTTATATTCAATTCTTAGCAAATTTACTAACGACTTTGAAAATAAATTCAATCTCTTTAAATAAGGTCAAGTTTGAGTCTTTTCATAAAAAAAAATATAATTAAAAAGGTTTTTTGTGATAAAAAAATATAGATTTAAATATATTTTTAATCTTTTAAATTTAAGATAAATTTATTTTTATCCTTCAAATTTCAAATTTAAAACTGTTATTTTTAGTTTGGATGATTTTTAAAAATTTTGTTTTAATTCCTCAAGTTACTAATAATATATAAAAAAAAGTGACAAATTAAGATAGTTATGTAATTTCAATCGAGTTTAATTTGATATTTTTACTAATAGAAATATCAAATGGTATTTTATATATTTTTTTAACAAAATTTGAATTAAAAAATTAAAATAATTTTTTTTGAAATTATAGGAACTAAAAAAACTAGTTTTAAATGAGATTAAAAATAAATTTACCTTAAATTTGAGAAGTTAAAAATATTTAAATAAAAAATATAATTAAAAAAGAAGACTTCATTAAAAATAGGAAATCAATTGTTCTAAAAAAGATATTAATCATTGACAAATTCAATAAATTTTTTATATTAACATGGTTTAAAGAAATTCTTAGCAAATTTATTCCATAAAAATATTATTAATTTCAAGTCATCCAGTTCATTAACATTCTTAACATGTTGGTTCATAATCATAAGGCAAAGCTAGCGTCAAATAAACATAAAATTAGAAGAGAAAAAATCATTTGCCATATTCCTAGATTTCCAAAAAGAATTAATGGATTTTCGCCGTTTTGGTTCAAACAAGAACTTGTATTAAAAGCTAGACACTGTTCTCTTTTCAATTTTTGGCCAAATATAAGTTATGAAATGACACAATATGGAGACATCAACCTGCAGTGAGGTACACGCTCCTGATTCATGGCCCCAGCCCCCAGGCAGGTCAGCAAGCATGTCCGTTGTTACAAAAATGAAATCACACCCAAACAATTTATCGATTATCCTAAAAAGTAAAAACAATTTCTAAATTGATATGCAAAGGTTTTGTCGTATTGTTGTCATCCGATTAGGCATGCATTTGCATTCTCAAATTTTGAAAGAAACTACAGTTTTCAGCCATCAAAACCAAATAAATTATGTCATATCCATGAAATACATACATGATGCTCCCCTGCTACACTGTTTTCTTTTCTTACGTGTTTTTTTTTTTAGTTGAAAATTTAGATTAGGTTAAAACATAATCTAATGAAAGGTCGGAACCAACTACCATTTTTTTTTTGGAAAATTTACAAAAAGATTATGAATAGTTTATCCAACATTAATGTAAATCTATATGAAAAAATATAAAACACAATAAAAACTAAATTCAGTATTTTAGATCTAATCCAGTAAAAGTGAGCGAGTTTGTTTTTCTTTTATGTGCCAATAACTAATAGGCATCTATTCATATAATAAGTTAACTATATGATAAACAACATCAAAATCAGCACCTGCCTAAGGGTAAGGCTAATGAAGCTCAAACTTTAGGCCCAACCATAAAAAAAAATACTTACTCGTAGTTTTAATGAAATATAAAAGTTACACATTGATAAATATAAAAAAAAAACCTAATATATAACTTTCTTATTCAAAGTAACAAAATAAATCTCAATATTTACTTAAGACTTCACTCATTATTGGGCCGACTCTAATAAAAAATCTTTCAGTACTTCACTCTAATGAAACAGAAAACTTATGAATTATGACAAGAGCCTTCACCTAATAGCATAAGTTATTGAAAGAGTTGGTTTTTAACGTGGTACAATAGCCTACACGTTCAGGTGCTTAATAGTTCAATCATTGCTCTCCCATTTTTCACAATTAAGTTGAATTTCTACAAAAGATGTAGAGTAAGCGGGTGCTGGCCTCTTACATGAACAGACGTGTTAGAAAATCCAACGGGCTCTAAAATATGAGAACCAGACCCCCAAGGCTTTTAGGTAAAACCTCATGTTTATTCCACAACTCACACAAATTGTTGACCCCGTAGTCAGAGACTTTGATATCATACCAAACCAACTCCAATATTGATATCTCAATAACTTAAGCTATTAGATGAAGAGACACATAACACACGCGATTGAAAAATGTAAACCGTCCACCCCAATTTAGGATAGAGAAGTACAAGGAAGAGAGAGAGACAGAGAAGAAGAAGAAGAAGAAAAGGAAGAAAGCGAAAGATATGATAAATAATGTGATGAGAAAAGAAGAATGGAATAGAATGGAGATCGAAAAGAAACTGAGTGTATGAATATAATTACCCTAAATGATTTTATATCTGTCTATAACATGTGGTTCATTTTTTCAGAAATCTGCAAAGGTGTAGTTTTCAGGTTAAGGAATCAATTTTCAAATCAGAGCAACAGTCTAATCTCGAGGTAAGTGTGAAACAGGCATTTTAAGACATACCATAATATTATGTGAAAACAGATATTTTGTATCTACACAGCCAAGAAATATTTGGGAATTTAAGAACCTGTTTAGTTTTGGGGGAAAAATATTCTGTTTCATTTCCTGTTTTCATCCATTAATACAAAATGCTACCTTATTTTCACTCTAATCTTGTTTTTGAATAATTGCACAAGAAATAGTGTAAGTAATAAAATGTTGTTTGCGCCATTTCCAATACACACATTTGAAAACAAAGTGTCCATCTAATCGTTACTAGTAAAACAAGAAATGAAAACAAATAAAATGATTTTACAAATCAAAGACCTTGAGATCCTCCAGAACCAAATGCCTCCTATGGGGTGAAAAACCAGGAAATCCTATTCAAATTCTGAGGAAAAAACAGGAAGAGTACTCAAGAATAAAAGAGGGAAGAGTTTCGATACTCAGTCTGATTGCAGTTGGTTTACAAGCTGTTCTTATATACATGTTTGTCAGATCAGATCTCAAATTTCACCGAACTGTCAAACTAACCCAAAAGGGGCAACTGACATCAACTAACTCTGGTGTCAGCTAACAGCTAAACATTTAGGCAGATGCTTTGAGCATGTTTGGGTACAAAGCCTAAAAGGACATTCAAAAGTTTCTCTACTTAAAAATATTCTTTATTTTTAGTAGAGAGGTCCTCAAAGGCCCTTCTAGATTGGATCTAAACAGGTTCTTTGACACATGGTTTAAGTAGAGAATGATGAATTGGCATTCAGTGGTTCTCTTTTCAATTCTCTCAAATGTTGTACACTTACAAGTCTCAATACTTGACTCACACAGGAGACTCAAACATGATCTGCAACCTATCTTCATAATATAACACAATTTAAAGTCTAATTCAACAAAATCGAATCTCAGAAGAACAGCAATCCAAGCCACTCCAAAAAGAACAACATAATATACAACGCGTGCTATTAAGGAACATATGATCTCAATTTGATCATGAACTACTAAGAAAAAGGATAAAGAGAGTGAACCTAATTTGATCTCAACATAATATGGTCATCACTTATTACAAGAGAAACGATAACCAAAATGGTTCACACTTCGAAGCAACAAAAATTTATCTACATTTACACTCGACAAAAAAAATTTATCACTATTGCTGAGACTATTACAAATGCAAAAACATATCAAACCAGGACATACATCGAATTGGAACCGAAAGTACACACATTGAATGCTTCTTCAACCTATCCAAGAATTTACACGACATTCTAAAAACATTATAAAAAAAAAAAAGCAACAAAAGGAACCCGTTCCCATTTCCTTCTAACAACATGGTAACTGGTAAGAAAAACTATAATATGGATACAATTGAAATTCTCGTCTAACCAAAACCTAAAAAAATTGAGCCTCTATTTTCTTCAAATATATGCAACGCAAGTAATACAAAAAACGATTAAACGAAAGCGAAATAAGTAATATCATATTTAGCTATATGCTAGCGTACCCCGTTCGTTTCGTAGGGCTTCCACCAACAACCGAAAGCAATCCTCCATCGGAGACTTCCAATTCATCCACGTACAAATCCTCGGTGCTCCGAAAAACAGCATGCAACGCCACCGCCGCTGCCGCAATGAGCACCGACACCACCACGTTCAGCCAGGCGCCGGCGAGGACGAGCGCGGCCACAGTGACGGCGGTGAGCACGGCAAGGACGAGGCGGTCGTCGAGCGTGCGGCGGAGCAGGACCACGGGGCCGTCGCGGAAGAAGTAGAGGAAGAACCACGCGACGAAGACGGCGAGGAACACGATGAGGGAGATAGGGCGCCAGAGGAGGCTGAGGAAGAGGACGAAGAGAACGATCATGGCGTAGTTCACGCGGAAGTGGCCGAGGTTGCGCTTCACTCGGAGCGTTGCTTCGCCGAGGGAGTAGGGGCGCGTGAAGGAGTGGAGCGCGAAGACCTCCTCCCATGGGCGGCGCGTTGGGAAGCCGGAGGGAGTGGCGGCGCGTGAGGGAGGAGTGGAGGTGGAAGGGATTGGGCTGTAACGAGAGGAATGTGATGAGGTGTTAGTGAACGACATTGCGTTTGGAGCTTGAAACCCTAACCCTAACCCTAACCGGAACGTGAAGTAGGTTCCGGAGGACGTGTCTGAAGGGCAAGTGCTTCGTGTCGTTTTGGTGTAATAATCGCGTCTGTGACTGACTGTGACTCTTCACTGTTCAATGAAGCCCGCAACATAAACGACGTCTTGCACTTCCCTTCTATAATTGGGCCAAAAAGGTTAAGACATTTAGTTGTTTTGACTATTATTTGCCCCTATAATTTTTTATGCTTTTTTATTTATTTCTTTAAGAAATTGATGGCTATCCAAATGAACGGTGCTACTATATACCAAAAAAAGTTTGACATATACCAAAAAATAATGAACGGTGGTATTATCTTATGTAGTAAGATTTTAACTAATCCCAACGTAAAATAAAAGTTAGTATAAAGGTAGAAAAGTGGTAAAATAATGTGACAATATTCATGGATCAATGAAAGGTTGTCGACTACGGAAGCGTTATGCTTACAATATTGTGTCGGCATGACGTGGCCTATGGCTAGCACCTAGCAAGTTTAATTTATGGACGATATCATTGTTAATTTGTTATGATTATATGTTACTCTCTTTGGTTTTTATCACAAATTTACAAGTTACAATTAAAAAATTACTTTTTATAAGATATAAAATACTAATTTTTTTTCTATTTTTTATCTTTATTAAAAATTACGATATTATATATTTTTCTCTTTCATATATTTTAGACTCTTTAACGGTTATTTATTATTTTATTCATATTAATGTATAAATTTCTATATGAAATAATATTTTATTTTTTTCATAAAATTTAATAATAATTAAAAAAATAAAAATGATAACTCGTTATTTCTTATGATTTAGTTAAAAATATCTTATAATAAAAATAATAATAAGTATTTATTTATATACAAAGTATAAGGAAGGTCATCAAAGAAAGTAAAAAAATCAAATGCATCACACGATGTACTATACCAAAGTCCCAACTATTGAATGGCCTAGTGGGGAGAATTTGAGGAGGTAGGGTGTAGCATAAGTTCATTCAATTTTTTTTTTCGAAAGGGCCTAACCGTCCAAATTAAAACTCACAAAAAAAAAATACAACAGAAGCATCTATTAATGGACCTAACTGTAATTAGGTAGGAGGGGTATGAAAAAGTTTGGATACCCTCTAACAAAGTCAATTCTTTCTTGGCTAAAATATCAGTCACTTGATTAATCTCTCTCAAATAGTTAATGAGATATATTACTAACTACTTTATTACACAAAGAGTAACAAAGATGATGCCTACTGCACCTGACATTTAAGAAATTAACAACTATAGCAAAATTTGACTCAATGAATAAGTCCTTAGACATTTCAATATCATGTGCAAGCTTGATGTTATAGTAAACAACCCAAAGCTCAGCTTGGACAATTGAACACAATCTCATCTTGTAAGAGAAGGCCACAACGAAAACTTCATAGTGATCACCAATGATTTTCCCACAAGCAGTTCTGGAATCAATCACTATAGCTCTATCGTAGTTCAATTTAAAGGCACCTTCAAATTTGGTTGTTGATGCAAATTATTAACCAATACATTGAGGATATGTTTGGTTACTTGTTAAACATATCTAAGATCAATTTTATTCCATCGATCAAAATTACTTTTATTATATGTTTAATTATTAATAAAATTGATTCTAGATGTCAAAATCAAATATGATTAGAAGTAATTAATAATTTCTTAAAATTAATTTATATAAAAAAAATTAAATAATATTTAATATAAAATTCAAGTACATAATTAACAAAAATTACTTTTCTTTTAATAAAATTCAAGTACATAATTAACAAAAATTGCTATTCTTTTAATAAAATTCAAGTACATAATTAACAACAATTACTATTCTTTTAATTAACATTTATAAAAAATTTATAAAAATGTACGTTTATTCAAAATTAATTATATCAACACATTCACATCATAGGCACTAATCTTGTTTTATATAGTATCGCTTCGTCTTATATCTTATTGTCTATTCATTATCTTTTTAAGATTTCGGTTTTATTAGTCTTCTTGTTTTTGGAGTTTCATTCACTCTTTGTTTTCCAGTTAGTAAAAGCTTTTAGTCAGCTGAAATATTGCTAAAAAGAATTGAAACTTCAACCAATTCTTTCTTCTGGTAAAGAAACTTTAACGTTTGGATCAATTAAAATCATATATATATAAATTTTCAACTTTTTCTAAATAAATAAATTAATTAATTAATTAAAACATATGAATTTCAATGTTATAATATAAAACACAATTCAGGAAGACAGGAACTGTATACAACTTCAGCTGATAAGAGATCCATGTGTAAAGCTCAAATGGTTTCACGTGTATAGAAGATTGCAAGGAAAACATGCAAGTGACATTCAACCATATTCCACTTATAAAAAGGTAAAGTATTTTTGTTTTCTCTTCGCATTTTCTATTCTTCAAATCAAATTTTAAAATCTTATGACAGTTTTACATGGTAATTGTATCAGAAACATTGCATATGATTATTTTTCACTTAAAACTCTTTAACTTTATCGAGCTACATCAATATTAAACTTACTGATGGTTGAGAGTTGAGACTATAGGTAAACTTCAGAAAAACGATTAATAGGAGAAAAAAGAGTTCTATTATATGTAAACAGGAGTAAAAAAAGCACCAGAAAACACAGTATATCATGTTGGTGCATTTTTGTTAAAGAAAATTATCACATGTGTGGCATATGAGTATATATGACCTACTCATCATACCTTAATGAAATTATCAGCAACCGTGATGTTTCTGAATCTTTCAAGCGGGATCTTGCATATGACCTATATACTTAAACTATGAGGGTATAAAATGCATAACTTTTAGTTGACTTGGAGAAAAAAATTGTAGGATAATGCAAATTACCCAAAGAAAAAAAGTGAAGAAGAATTTTTTGGGTAGTCCAAAATTCTGTCACATATCATGGAAGAACTTGTAGTTCTTGATATCTTCCACTATGAATCTGACTGCACCAATGCAACCCAAGATAGCAACGATTGAAAACCAGGTAGCTATCAAAATATTGAGTGGTCGCATCAAAAGGCCAAGTTTGAAGTTACTGGCTGTTCTTCCAGCCTTAAGGTATGCTAAAGCGGGGAACACAAAGTCCAAAGGAGTAAACCCAATTGCCCCACAAATGGACACAAAATCTCCAAAAAAGGGCATAGCTGCAGCAACAAGAGTTACAAGAACCATGTATATGGAAGTAAAAATAAGTCGTGCCAGGCGATTTCTGAGTGGAAAATGACTAGTAGATTTGTTGGACTTGGACACCATTCTTTCCTCGAAATAGGCATATGTTGGTCTGCAGTATATCTAACAAATGATGCAAGGAACTCTATTAGTATTAGTCACTGCATTTGGACTATAATAGTTTGGTATCAGGAATAACATGGGATTTCGAAATGATTTATGCATATATGTCACTACCAATGATAACTAAAACTAAAGACTAGTGCAACATTCACCATTCTAGACTTTGTACTTATAAATCGATTTTATGAGAATGACTAGGATCTAAACTCATATTCTAAGATCCTTTTCTCTCTTTTCCCTACTCGCGGAGAAAAGGAATAACATCGATGGCCACAAGAAGTTTCAAACAATACTATACTCTTATACTGAAGTGCTAAAGAGGGTACCTGAAAGCATCCAGATATTTGAATAGCTGCAAAGAGATTTGCCATAACAACAGTCCATTCTGGAATAGACAATGAAGTTAAGATATAAGGTTGGACTTGTGATCCAAAAGCCCAGTATCCAGAAAAGGCCAATTGCCAGTAAGTCAAAACAATGACAGTATATGCTGCTGATATGCTTTTGTACATATTTTTCTTTGCAGGTTCTCTCACTGTATTCTGGAAAAGGAATTATGATATGAATTGCCAAGTTGCCATGTTACAATTGAGGGACAGAAGAACATATAGTAAGAGACTTAGGACCTGTTTCAATAAACTTCTCTGGAAGCAATTATAGGAAAAAAAAATAGAAAGAAAATCAAATAAGTTTTTTCATAAGTTAAAACTAGCTTATGAATAAGTTAAAAGTAAGATTTTAGAGAAGTTAACAAGAAAGAGTTTTTACAAATTAGTTTATATTTAAGTCAATTTTAACTTATGGAAAAATTTATTTCATTTTTTCTTTCTGTTTTTCTCTTTTAGAAGTATTTCTGGAGAAGTTTACTCAAACAAACCCTTAGAAGTAGTATTAGAGACCTGTATTTCTGGAAGCATTGCATCACCGAATGAAAAGGCAATGGTCCCAAGGGCATTGAAGGCTTTGAAGGTCTTAGAAGCAGAACTACCCTGCAAACTGTAACTTACTGATGTCCTATCTATCTTCTTCCCTGAGAGACGTTGGAAACCAAAAAGTTAACACCATGAAATCAAAAAGAGGAATCATTCAGGTGTTGAGGCTTTGACAAACAAGGAGAAGATTCATCACCAGCTTACCATTGTAAATGATAACACCAATCGTTGTACCAGCAAAGCCTATTGTGCTGAAAGTACACAACGCATTTACCCATCTCAGTGAGTGAATATCCGGGAGCTGAGAGAGAAACAATTCAAAGATTCCAAAGAAAATAATAAAATGCTGTAGGGTCAATGATCCATTCTCGTGATAGTGCTTGTAAACTGCCTGTACAAACATGAAATTAGATCATTTACACATCCAAAGAAAATGGAAACAAATGGATTTTGTTGTCCATTAAGAAGATTTAAATGAAAAGACAGAATCATAAAAAATAAAAAATAAAAAGGTGACTAGAAATCATGGAACATTTATAACATTTTTCATATCACTCCACAAAATCTGGATAGATGCATAACCTTAAGGCTGCTGCCAGCTGCAATTTGGATGGCAATGTTATTTCCCAGAGAAGCTACCTGCTGAAAAAAGGCAATAGACCAGTACCCCCAGAATCCTTCAGGAATCATTAAAAATCAAGAATATATCATGGTTAATATGGAGTGCAGCTAGCACAAAACTGCATAGTGCAGAGGAAACATTAGACTTGAATATGACAGTCATTACATTATTATTATATACTATGTATATGATAAGGGTCTATGCATAATTTTATGTATGCATAGATAATAGGTTAAGTCTGTTTTGAAGCATAGGAATGCATAAATAAAATTAGATTTCTACACTTCTTGAGCCTGCCTTCATTCTACACTCCCCTGTGGACTTTAGAGGCTAACTGAGTATGGTTCTTATTACAAATTAGTAAGAAGTAAGAACAAATTTATTTGCTATAACTGTAAAACCAACACCAATATAACAATATATAATACCAACCAAAAATACTATGTGCAAGATGTCTATAAGTAAGGTGCTTCTCCCCGTTCCATTTCCACAACGAAGCGATCAAAACGCTAGAGTACCAGGTGGCTAGTGTAGCACTCACCAGACAACTCACACCTGAAATCAGTAAGAACATAACCCCTTCATAGAAAGTAACAACACATAACATAACCACTTAATTATTTAACAACATAGAAGAACAAGTAGCTTCATAAGAAATGAATATATATTAAGAGTCTCTACAGATACTACACAGAAATACTTTTGAAAACTTCTCTACTAAAAAATATTCTTTATTTTCAGGAGAGAAATTCTTAAAAACACTCTGAAACTTTGTGTCAAACCAGACTCTAAATATAATATCAAAGGAACTGATATGATTTAACTTTACCTTCCCAAATATAGGGGAATCGTATTGCTTTTGGTTATTTGTATTGTTTATGATTCTAATAATCCAAGAGAAAGAACTAACCAAGAGGCCAACCAAGAGAAGCAAGAGCGAAGGGCAAAGGAGCATAAGCAGCAGGGGTGGCTATAGTGGTGGCAACATGGAAAGCTGCGTGCTTCCACGTTCCTTTACCACTTACTGCTTCTGATGAAACACTTTCCTCTGATTCCTGCCTTGACCCCATTCTGTCTCTGCTTCTACCTCTCTCTAAGTCATGTATTGTATTCAATATATTATAACTATTGATTCTGCTTTCTTTCTTTCTTTATTCGTGTTCTGGACTCTGGTTGGTGTTCCCATAACAATCCTCTCCACAGGACTAGTATGAATAGTAAATTTTTACTTAAAAATATCTATTGCAGCTGCGTAAGCTGATCTGGATATTACATTTTTCTTCTCCACGTTTGTTGACATTTGTAGCCGAAATCATGGACACAGAATAGAAGGCGACGTAAGACAACTTAGAGGAACAACCAGGTCAAACATAGTTAATACATATTAGATTCCTCAAATTTGTTATCGAAGGTTTTGATTCTTGATCAATAAAGTAGGCTTTAGTGGAAAAGATAAAAAAATTATTTTAATAGTTTTTAGTCTCTAAAAATATTACTTTCGAATCATGTTATCAGATGATTTTAGCTGCCGTAAAAATTGAGTTTAAGGTAAATTCGTCTATGTTCAAAACTTTTATTTTAAAATTGTAATAAAAGTTTAACATTAAATTCTCAAAATCAATATTCTTATTATTTCTGGTTAAGGTTGTTTTTAAGAACAAACTTCAGTTTTCCAAAACTCACAAAATTACATTTGTGTGCAAAATCCTGTTTACGGAGACGTAACATGCACAAAGTCTCACGGCATATAATACGTTATTACTGTTCAGAACCGTTATTACTGTTCAGAGAGTATCACGACAACGATAACGGTAACGGTAACGGTGACGATGCTTTCTCTCTTCTCCGCGAAGGCAAACGCGGTTTGAGAACGGGGCCAAACGAGGCCTTCTTCGGCGTGCGAGAGAAGCCATGCGAGTTCAGCGCGGGGATAGCGAACTGCGACGAGTTCGAGAGCGAGGACTTCAACTGCAAATCGATTTTGGACGAGGAAATTGAGGAAGGAATCGATAGCATCATGGGAGGGAGAGTGGAAGACGGAAAAAAAAAAAAAAAAAAAAAACTAAATTGACTGCCCGGAATTCGGTTCCCCAGAAACCGAATTCCGGCAGCCCAAGCGGGCGGAGGAGGACAACATGAACGTCAGAATTTGGTTTGCGGATAACCGAATTTTGACGTTAAACAGTAAATGATACTTGGATAAATATATTGTATAGGGTGCTAATTTAGTATTTTTTTTTATAAAAATAATACAGTAAAAAATTTGATAAAGTAACCTTGTTAAAAAAAAATTTGGAAATACGAAATATCTACGGTTATAATAATTAGTTTTGTAGGATTTTAACTCACGACATAATTTATTTCATTTTTAAAGTTAAAATTCAAACTCTTTATAATTTTAAAAAAAATGAATAAATATGGTTATTTTTAAAGTTTAATAAGTTAAAATAATACTATATTTTAAAATAAGTTATAAATAAATATAATTTCATTTATCATTGCAAATATATTTTATTTTATGTAAAAAAAAATTATATATATATATATATATATATATTTTATTTCCAAGTTATCATATTCTAATTTGACCCAAATCAAGTTGAAATGAAGCCTCAATTTTGTAGTATTCCGATAGTTTTTGAAGCTTCCTACAATCCCAAAAGACTCGCACAAGATTTCACCCCCACGTCCCTAGGTCATTACACGTGTCTACCAATGGAAGTTGCCTCGTCGTGCTATTGTAAAAACAACAAAAATATTTTTTAAGAGGTTTTTTTTTAACATTTTAAGAGCATGTTTAGTCCTAAAAATATAGGGGGTGGTAAAATAGGTCAGCCTGGCCCGTTTTGGCCTGGCACGCCAATGGCTTGTTAAACATGAGTTTGGTTAGGCTAGCTCGCCAATGAAAAATGAGTTGGAAATGCTAGCTCGCCTCGTCTAAGGACAGGTTGACGGGTCAGTGAGCCAGCTCGCATATCACAATAAAATTAAAAAAAAAATATTTTATGTTTAAATAAAAAAAACTGCTACAAATATATAAATATAATCATATGAAATTAAAAATGCATACATATTATACATAATATATGTTCAACAAAAGCAAATTACAAACTTAGAACAAAATCAAATAGAAATTAGTTCACTTACACCAAAATCAAAACCAAATTATAAACTTACAAATTACTAATAATCTAATTTTTTTGATAGTCAACAAAACAAGTCTATTACTTATGCAAGTAACTGAAGCTCAATTACTTATGCGGGTTGGTGGGTTGTGACGAGCCAGTCCGTCATTTGGCCCGACGGGTTGGCAGGTTGAAATGATGGGTCCGGTCCGCCAATTTTTGGCGAGCCAACGGGCCGGCTGCGAGTCATAGCCCATTTTGCCATCCCTATAAAAGTCTCCCGTTTTGAGATATAAAAAAATGCAAATCGTTATTAGATAATGTTGATTATGATTCAAAAATCCTTTGTACCATATGTATGTCTTTTAAAGTCTTTCATTTTTATAGTTTTACAGGTTTAGTCTGACTTTATTCGTCTAATGAGTTCAAATTATATATATAGTCTATTTTTATTAGTTTGATAGGTTCAATTTGTCTTCCTTAATTTAATGGGGTTTAGTCTAACCTGTTTTATAAGACTTAACCTTAGTATCTTGAATCCTTATATATATATATATAT